CCCCTCATGACCGCATCCAAATGTGCTAAAAACCATGCGGCAAAACCGTGCCAGGGTTGCAATTTAGGCTCCGCCCCCGACTCCGCCCACTTTTCCCCGGAATTTGCGGGGTCTCCTAGACCCGAGACCCCACAAATTCCGGGGAAAAAACCGGGGAAAAGTGGGCGGAGTCGAGAAAAACCTTGCGGCAAAACCGTGCCAGGGTTGCAATTTAGGCCCCGCCCCCTCATGACCGTGTCCAAATGTGCGAAAAACCGTGCCAGGGTTGCATTTTAGGCTCCGCCCCCTCCTGACCGTGTCCTAATGTGCAAAAAAACCGTGCGGCAAAACCGTGCCAGGGTTGCATTTTAGGCTCCGCCCCCGACTCCGCCCGCTTTTCCCCGGAGTTTTTTTCCCCGGAATTTGCGGGGTCTCTCTAGGCCCGCGAAAACACTTTTTTTCAAATTCTGAAAATCTTTTGTTTTCCATTTTTTCAGGCATCACTTTCATTTGTTCAACTTCCAAATTTACAGAAATGAATCAAGAAAATGACCAAGAATTAAATGGAGTGAATAATGATAACAGAAATGAAAGGGACCATCTAGAGGGATTCAATCCAAGTGCTGCTCATAGATTCGACTACACTTTGCAGGATAACGAGAACAGAGAAAATTATAAAAACGAAGCCAAACTTGTAGATTATGGAACCAACTGGTTCCCAATATGTGGTGTTAGCGCCGTTTGTTTTCCTGGTAATTTTTGCTTCATCAGTTATTATCTGGGAAGTTATCTGTTCAGAACAGCAGCTCCCAATGAAATTCGACGAAGATGAACAAGAGCTGTATGACAGACTTGTAGCAAGTGCACGAGCTAATGGTTTTGTTGTTCTATTCCCATCTGACATCAGAGAATGCGACACCCTCCCTTATGTTGCTACACTATCAAAAGTAGTTCAGGCCAATCCACAAACATTTAGCATGGAGCTTATGGGAGTTCATCGATGTAAAGTTTTATCTTACAACTTGTATGTATGTTGACCAATGTTTTCTGACTCAATGTTTTACTTCCAGGGAAAACGGCGAAGCATTCGTTCAACTGCTACCAGAGGTAGAGATCCCAGCGTTGCTTCCAAAGCACCTTCCGAAGTATAGTCGAAGATATTCAATGTATGAGAGGCGTTCGCTGGCCACTCGTATCACCGGGTACCCGTTTGATAGTCTCCGAGACATTAGCAGAAATCAAGCTGAGCAATGTTGTTTGGAACTTAAAGGGATGATAGGAGAAGAAATTCTTCAACAAGCATTGAATAGAGGATTGACATACTTCAGTTACTTCATTTCACAACAAATTTTTTCAAATCGTGAAACAGAATATAGTCTTCTCAAAGAAGATTCAGCGAATACTCGGATTGCTGCTGCTCTGAAGTATTGCAAAGTTTCTATAGGGAAGTGCAGAAGATGCTTTGCACCTATTTTCCTTAATGAAAATATCATGAGGCTCCCAGAACAGACAATGACACATGTTATTGCTCATGGATTCGTTCATAAAATTACTTTACTGTCATCAATCACAAACTATGTTCGAGCTAGTGCACCTTCCTATGAGTTTACATGGTTTCCCGAGTGAGTTTGAAACCCAATTTCGCTTTCTTAGATAAATTATTTTCAGTTATGCCTGGATCATTATCCAATGTGTAGGGTGCCATCAACATCTTGGATGGGAATACATGAGTATGACTCGTGAGCCACAACGCTTTTTTGGAATCCAAAGAGAAGGAGTTCAGTTTGAAAACGATATAGCTGAGGAAAGGGATGACGATAACAGTGACCCCACCGAGAGCTCCGATAGTCTTTCTGATGAAGAGTCGGACTGATACAATTGATATTTGATCAAACATGTTAAACGAATTTAATTCAACAGCTAAATCAAACTTTGTTACTTTTGTATACTGCATGATCTCCTAATAAAGCTGCATATGCAAGTAATGCGGTAGACGCACCAACGTCGAAGTACTCAATTGATTTCTCGAAGACAATTGTTTTCTGTGCTGCATAAAAATTCCACTTTTTTCTGTTCTCCTGAAAAGTTAGAGAAGCGCTTTTGAATCTAAGTTTTGCTTTAATTCGTATAAACTAAAGTCCCGCATACAGTATCCCGTATTTGACATCGTGCCGAGACCATCCACCACCAATTTGAAGAATGTTCTTTCCAAATGGTAAGGATTGACATTCAAACAGAGTAAATCTAGAAAGTTTTCATGATTCAGTCTAGTGCAAGCAACTAAGTTTCTAAAATTTTGTTAATCGGAACATCCCATGATTGTTAAGCCTATTTCCAAAACTATAGGATATATCTGCCAACGAGCACATGCGAGAGTTGCGCAGCAACTGTGCGCATGAATGCCGTTCGGTGCGCTGCGTACGCGTCGCGGTCTTCCTCGTTTCCAATTTCGTTCTTCTTTTGCCCAGTATTGAACCTCGTTTTTCGTTTTGTTGCGCTTTATAATACCGCGTCCGATTACCTGAGGCCGTATGCAAGAAAGTGGAAAACCATTTTCTGGTGTTTGGAAAATGGTTTTCTGAGAGCTTTAACAGATTTTTTCCATTTTGAAAAGGATTCTGGGCTAAAAAATGACTAAAAGTGAATATGAGCACTGTGAAAAATCTCTCCAAACTATCAGAAAATCATTTTCCAAACACTGGAAAATGGTTTTCCACTTTCTTGCATACGGCCTCTGAATAAAAATTCTCAGAAAACTCAAAGCTGCTCTTTTCCAGGTTTTCCAAACACAGTCCAGTCTATGGAAAACTTTACAATTGAAATTCTTGAAAAGTTAAAAAAGGTCTTTAGACCGCTTAGATTTTTTTCGGAAATCGACTTTGCAAGCGACAGAATAGATTTTTTTCCTTTTTGCTCTCTTCTTTTATGACCTGTTCCATGGACTCATTCTAAAGCATTTCAGTTTCGACTCTACAAAGGATAAAAATGGTGAAGGCTAACAATGTAGACATGTCTCTCGACGACATCATCTCGAAAACCAGGAAAACAAATAGCAGCATTCAGAAGAAACCGTTCAGTGGAAACAGACGTGGAAACGGAAGACCCAGCGGAATCCCACGTCGCTCAGGCGGATCCAGTGGTGGATGGAGAGACCTCGACGCAGTCAGCAACCATGGTATCACTAGCAGAGGAAACGGTTAGTTTCAAACCAAAGAAGTAAATTCATTCGAACTATCTTACAGATAGCAAAATAATTCGAGTCAATATCTCGAATCTCGCTACCACCGTTATCTCGAGCGACTTGGAAGAACTTTTTGGAGACTACAAGCTCCACTCGGTTTCAGTCAATTTCAACGAGCATGGTAAATAACGCAGTTTAAACATTTATCATTTCAATATTATTTTTACAGGCGAATCCCTAGGAACTGGCGATATCTCGCTTGCAAAGCGAGATGCGGACAGACTTGTCCAAAAGTATAGTGGTGTCGCTCTCGACGGAAAGGTACAAAATTATTCGACCCGATAACAAAGTCTTCGAAAACAATCAATTGATTCTTCTGAATCCCGTGTTCAGAAAGCGTTTTCATCGGACGCTTCTGACTCCGTACTTCTCCTTGATCACTGTTGTCTCCTCAGTGTGCAGCATTCGATACCAACAAGAAAATTGAGTCTTTTCCATGTGAGATTGGAACTGATCGTTCTGTTGTTCTTGAGTTCTGCCGTTCATCTCATCAAGTATCTGGTTTAGAATCCAACAGGGTTGTGAGACCGATTATGAAAGGAGCCAGAATGTTTCGGAAGATCCGTTGCTGACACTACAAGTGAATTGATTGGGTCCAGACTTGGCTATTCGATGATCTTTTCTCCTATCCTCAGTTTGGGAATGAAAATTTTGAATTCCAGATGATGAAGTTCGCTGTCATCGATTCAAGCAACATCGCTGGAAGAGTTGACTTTGGTAACAGATCACGCAGTTCCCAGGGCAGTTCTGGGCGCGGCTTCCAGTCCGGACCACGCAGATTCAACAGAAGTAAGCTTTCTGGTAGCATATTTTTGATAATTCAAAAAATTTAGAGCCAGAAGATTTCCTCCGTGACGGAGTCCACGAGGGAGATACCAAGAGAGGAGGATCTGGCCGTGGCGGTTTCCGTAAAGGAGGACGAGGAGATCGTGACTCAAAGCCAAAGAAAACTGAAGCAGAACTCGACGCTGAACTTGAAGCCTATATGGCCAAGCGCAATGCCTAAAAATCTCGTTTTTATCATCAATCTTTGAACATTCTTGATATTTGTTAAGCCCTCAACCATTCACACATTCTACACAATTTTCCCCCTCTCAATCAGATACTTTATTAATAATTCGTTATGTTATCAAAAAAAATCTCCTGTCCAACCTATCGTCTGACGTCTCTTCTCTTCTTCTCCCTTTTACCGAGTTCCTAATGATCTTCTGCTTCTGTTATTCTTTTTTCCTGTCAAATCAATAGAAAAATGAATAAAAATAGAGGGGAACGAATTTTAAATTTGTCAACAACAGATATCGGGTTTCGATGTGAGAATATCGGAAGCTAAAACTAGATACCTTCGAAAACGAATCCATATTTTGAAGGTTGCAATGGGCGACAATGTTGTGGAAGCTCCAAACTGGCCAGCTCCGGTAGCTGAAGTAGGAGAAAAAACCGTTTTTCAAAGAATGTTCCACTTTGGAACTATTTTCGCCTTTTCCACAATCACGATGGTATCACGACTGCTCAAATAACTCTGTTCTTGAATACCGACTCAATTTTAGATTGGCGCTGTAACCACATTCTTTTCTCTTCAATGGATGCCAGTGAATTCATACATTGGCCTTTTCAATACACTTGCATTCCTTCTCTGGAACTATTTGACGATAGGAAATTTATTCAATGCTTCATTTTTCGGTCCGGGATACGTTCCACGGGGCTGGAAGCCAGAAAACAAAGAACACGAAAAGAAGCTACAGTTCTGTGTACCTTGTAATGGATTCAAGGTGCCACGATCTCATCACTGTTCGAAATGCAACCGATGCTGTATGAAAATGGACCATCATTGTCGTAAGAATTTTAACATCTTCTCTGTTGACCGGGATGAGAACATTAAAAAATTCGAAACTTCTTATTACGCATTTTATTTCAGCTTGGATCAACAACTGCGTTGGTCACCGAAACCACCAATACTTCCTTCGATTCTTGTTTTTCTCAGTTGTTGGGTGCATTCATGCAGTTATTATCGATGGTTCAGCGATGTATCATGCATTCTTCGCTGGATGGTATCAGAGATACGGTGATGGAACTGAACCAATTATTTTTCTCACTCCAATTTCATTTGTTGCCGTTATTTTTGCATTTGCTATGGCTTGTGCTGTTGCTCTCGCTCTCACTTTCCTATTTATCACACAACTCCGATATGTGATCCGTAACAAGAATGGAATCGAAGATTATATCCGTGAGTTTTTGTAGGTCATATCGAAACTAGTTCGAATTATTATACTCAGATGGCAAGTCATTGAATATGAGAAAAATTCTGGATGAAGAAGACGAAGAAGAGGTCGAATGGATCCGAAGCTTAGGAGAGTGGAAATACCCATACGATCTTGGTTGGAAGAGAAACTTAAGCGAAGTTTTTATTGGGATTTTTGATGGCAGAACCAAAGGAAATGGTACTTGGTGGCCAGTTATTAAAGGATGTTCACAGTTTACATTTACTGTATGTTTGAAGCTTGTTTCCCTCGTGATAAATTTTTTTCTAGATTGATCAACTTCTTCAAAAGCAGTCTAAGCGCGGCCGTGCTCGAATTGTAGACATCGGAGAAGATTTTGAAGGAAAATGTTGTTCATCTCGTAAATTTGGATGGAAGATATGGATGAAACAACCAATCATCGATGGAAAATGCCTCAAAGTGTCCGAAGGAGAAACCATTATTGCAACTCGCGGAGTTTCTGGATGGGTGTATGGGTTCCGAGAATCAGACACACGAAATAAGGGATGGTTCCCAATTGCTATCACAAATCTCAAACGAAACGGGGATCCTAAAACCGAACAAACTGCCAGCAGTGAAGAAGATGTGAAAACTGATGACACTTTGTCATCTGAAGAGAAAAAGGATCAATGATTTCCGATTACTTTTTGAATCATATACTTGTATTGTATAGTTCTTGTGATATAATATTTATTATGTGTTCAATTGTTCTTCTTGTTCTCAAAAAGTAGGAGAAAATTTCAATAATTCCCGTATTCCATAGTACCTCGAGTCTCCTTGGAAATAAAAAGTTTTATCGATTACTATAATCATTGACGCCTTCGTGTCTTGACAGGTAATAGGATTTGGACGGGAACCTCCCCCTTCCAAGTCGATCTATACCCCTCTCTTTCATGCCTTTCTGAATCGCTTTTTTCCGCTTTCCGTAATAATTTGAGTGTGAGTGAGCACGATAAAAACAGAAACCGAGAGAATGTCTCCACATCAAGACTGCTCTCTAGGATATGCTCACCGCCTAATGATCCTGGAATCGGAGGCATAAAAGTGAATTATTGCCACGAGAGTTGTTTGAATAGGTGGAGTGTAGAAAAGATATTCTGAACCTCTCAGTTTACATTTTTTCAAAAAACTTGTTTTGGATTTCAATTCTCAGAACGGAGTTGATAATCTTATTCGATCTTTAATATTTTGTTAAAATTAAAAAAATAAGATATTTTTCCGGTACAAAAATAATCGGAGCTATGGAAGAGGTCGTTGGAGGTCGTGGCCGAAGATCTCACAACGACAACTACAGTAAACTAAAAATACTCACATTTTCCGAAATTATTATTTTGATTTTCGTGCGTTTTCAGTCAATTTTCCCCTTTTTATCAAAATTTCGAATTTTTCGACTAGTTTGAGAGAAAAGTATAAAATCGTCGAAGAGCAGTGAACACCGAGAAAAAAATCCTGAAAATGAAAACGAAAACATTTTCAGGTTACTGTAGTTGTCGTTGTGGGTCCTCTCTTCCACAGCTCCAATTTTTTGAACCATAATAATATCTGACAATCTCGAAGACGGTTCTTATCTTTACTATTAACAATCACCAAATTCTGTGTGTATGTCCGGTGTTCCCGGTTAGCGTAACCTTGCGAAGTCCCCAGTAGACCAAAATTTCCCAAATTTTCACCGATGACCCGAATTAGCAGCGAGATGATGCCCGACTATTTTAATAAAAGCATAAAACAATGATTTGGATTTTTTTCTGGATCACTCAAATATTCAGGATTTCGAATTTTACAAATTTCCGAACCGAATTTCATAATTTACAAATTTTGGAATTTATCAATTTCTGAGATCTTAATTCAGTGGAAAAATTCCCCGAATTTGCAAAAAAACATTTCTAAATTTCTGAATTTCCAACTTTTCAGGTTTCGAACTTTCGGAGTTTCTAATTTTTCGCAATTTAGAATTTTTTGAATTTTCAAATCTAAATTTCTGAATTTCCGAAGTTCCAAAAGTTTTTTGACGAGGCCCTAATTTGGTTTTTTTTCATGATTATAGGCATTATAAGCGGGAGTTGTCCAGTCGGTTCAGAATCTCTCAATTTTCAGGTCTCTGAATTTCTACTTTTCCGAATCTCGAACTTCTGGTTGTCTTAGATTTTCAAGTCAGGAGTTTTCCAATTTTCGGATTTCCTTATTCCCGACTTTTCCACTTCTAGGAATTCTGAATAACCAAAATATCGAATTTCGATTCGAAATTTCATAATAGACAATGAAAAAATGGTCCCTGAAAAAATGACGAAATATGTCAATAAAATAACGGGTACTGTAAGTGGGATCCAGGAGGTTCAGGCCGGAGGCCCGCAAACCGACTGTTTTTCTTCAAGCTTCGAAAATTTCAAATTTCGGAATTTACGGAGACCAGAAATTTCAATAAAACTGACATTTAGTAACCCAAAATGTGAAACTACAGGAAACCGGGAGCTCACATACTCCGAGTTTCAGAACATTAAAAAGCCGGTAGTTTGGAAAAAGAACATTGATAAGTATGCAAAACTTTCATAAAATTTGGTGACTTCGGAAACTCGAAAAAATTTAAAATTGGAAATTCAATTGTAAGGTACAGTAAGCGGAAGCCAGGAGGTTGAGCCCCCGGCAGGGGGCGTAAACCGCCTGGTTTCGATTTATTAAGCTCCATCCCTAAAATTCCATCGGAATCTTTTTTTCAGTGGTAATTTTTTTCCGGAACAAATCTAGATTTTTTAGCTTAACTTGTTCCCTGACATCTCTCGAACTTCTTTTTCACCGAAAAACTATTAGCGAGTGGAATTTCTGACATATTACAATAGGTCTTTTTACAGTAATCAACAGTATATTCAATTCATCTTTATAGGAAACCTTATGATTTAAGAATCGATTTCATGGAAAAATAGCTGACGTCATTGAGCAACAACAATATCTAGAAACAAATTCAATGACTCACAAACGATCAGAAACTTTCTTACAGTGGCACCGTCACCCTTCAGAAAAAATTGAAGACAACAAATGGTTAGTAAATGATCTGAATCTCTCTTTCTGGCCGACTATTTCCTTCCGTTATCGACTCAAAATCTCCCGCAGTGTCGTAGAGTATGTCCACCACCACCCGTCCCTCACTTCCCTCGCAAACATCGCTCCCCGCCCATTCCGAAACATTGACTCCGCCCATTTTTGCGGGAAGGGCGCCTTTCGAGTTGTGACTCATTTTTCTTTTTGTGTTTATTGATTCGTTACGGCTTATACTTCTAGAAGGTTACTGTACCCCATCTATCTATGTTTCGAGGTTTCGAAATTTCTTTGACACATGGCTCACGAGTATGACGTCAGAGATGGTAGTGTCTTTATAACTCCTCCATAACAACAGCGCCATCTATATAGTTTCCCACGCATCTTATGATTTGGTGATAAACCGGAGGAAATTGAAGACTAGGCTCGCGGAATGTCGTGGGAATATTCGAGACTATAAAAGTTACTATCCAAAAACAACTTTTTCAGTTGCGTCTATTTACATGTCCCTTCTCTCCTCTTTGTTTTTGGAATTTTTTAGATTATTCTAAAACTAGGTTTTAAATATTTGAAACTGAAAAAGCTTTTCTCGCTCTAAAAATGCAATATTCTGCCAGTTCTATTATTCTCTTCGGTCCTTTTTTCTACTCCTATTGTGTCGGTTTCCTTTTCAAGCTCTTTGTCATATTTTTTGTTTGTAAGCATTACAAAAGGCCAATCTTCTTCTTCAAATGCTTTCTCAACCGTGATGTTATCAATGTTACTGACATGATAATCTGTGTAATTTTCGAGTTTTATACTCTTTTCCTTTTCTCTTCTTCTTGTGTTTCTCTTACTCTCTAATTTTCTTATTGACTTGATGTGAGGAGTTTCTCCAGGGATTCTCTTCTCTTTCCTCCGCTAAACCAGCACTGATTGGCTTTATTTCACTTTATTTTTCTCGATCTTTCTCTGTTTTTAGTTTCTAACTAGTATAATATTTTTACCGATTTCAGAAAATGAACCACGTCGATGTGGATCAGATTCTAGAAGACTACGCGTGGCATCAGTTCCAAGATGTGCAATCGCTTCGAAAAACTCGAATCGATGATTTTCGTGGAATCGATAGAGACGACTGCGAGTTTGTAATTGTAAGTCATCATTTTGAGACAACACTTGAAAAAGAATTCTTCTCCATTCCGAAGGCCATTGGGGACCCTAGAATAGTTCTTCATCTCCGATCTCATCCATTGTTTCCAATCGTCGTGCGCTACCAATTTATTATTGTAAGAAAAGGCGCGCGCCGATTGAAAAAAGAAAAAAGAAACCATTTAACTCAACAGGAGGTAATAGAGGTTTGAATATATATGAAGTAAATCGGAGGGGAAACGAGAATACAAATACAAGCCAGAGTGTATTATATTAAAACCAGCTGGCTGCACTCAAGTTGGTTTGAATCTTATTGGAAATCTGACTTTCTGATTGATAGGAACCGCGGTTGTTAGGGTAACCAAGTCTGATTAGTTGGTCCACCTTATCTTGTAAAAATAACATTTTCTTCTGAATTTTCCTCTTTTCACACCTATCAAAATGTGGAATCTCACCCTTGACACCACCGTGTCACATCTTCTTCTTCCGATTTGACCGTATGATATGACGCGTGTCGACTCGGATCCAAAGTGCGCGCAAAACCACCGGCTGTTTGTTGTCTTTCTTGTGAGTGTGAATAGATTTCAAAGTGATAGGATGGATGTTCTCGGAGAGACTTAGACATTTGCGAGCTGATTTGACATCAAGTGCCAACGAGCACCGTTTGGCTCCCCGACCCACTTAGTCACCGTACGACTTTTGAAATATTTGGGGGTGAGAGTGAAGAAAAGGAGAAGAAGAATATTAAAGATCCGGTAACTCGATCTTCTCTTCTTCCATTCTTTTTTTCTCACGTCTCTTTTTCGAATTCCTCACAGCTCTTTCTCTTCCTCTTATTTTCAAAATTCAAAAGAAAACGAGTCTCTCCCCTTTTTGGGTTGGTTTTGAAACGCGCTAATGAGCAAGTCAGTCGGCGAGAGGCCGCATTATTTTTCTCTATTCCCTTTTTCTATATATCCACATTGTAACTATGTCGGAAAGAATGTGAAACCCTCTAATTAAAAATTGTCCTCTACTTTTGCCGAGGTGGAAGGGATTGATTGATATGGGAAGTAAAAATGGAGGAGAGAAAGATGGAAGAAGGACGGCTACATATTTACATACATTTTGAGAAGGAATTACGAGAAAAGAAGACTACACCCAGAGGCGATTAGAAGACGTTTTGGGGGAGAATAGCGAAATTAGAAGTGGGATTAGGAGAAGAAGGCTGTGAAGAAGTGCAGGAACAAAAATCATCCGGGAAAAGAAGGAAAAGAATTTTGGGAGTTTTTGAAATTTGATTTTTCGGAAGAAGTTCTTCCTCACATTTCAAGCCTTACATATCAGCTAATTAGTTTTAACAATTGCAACCGTACTGTAGCTGCGTCTACAGTATCCCAAACGATTTCGTTTAAGGATCGTGTTTGTCTTATAACAATCACATTTTCATATAGTCTCATTCTTTTCGAGTCCAAGAAGTCTTTACGATTTATTAAACCCTAGCTAATCCTTCCGGTCCATTTACAAAATGAGGTTTTTTTCCTTTTCTGCTTCCCAACATGTCGCTCGTTTATTGATGATGAGCACATTCTCTCGAAAGCAATGAAAAAGAAAAAGAAGAAGAAGATAGTCTCGTGGGAATTCGGTTGTCTTTCGAAGCTTTCGCGCGGTGGCGTTAGTGAGAACTCGATTAGCACAAAAAGCCAGGGGAAACGAAAAGTGGAAATTTTCAGAATCGAAAGCATTTGGTCGTTGTCTCGGAGGATCCACAGTACTCTCACTTCCAGCCGGTTGGTTCCAAGCCATACACTCTCTTCAAATCTATCTACACCAACAGCACGAATCGGTGAGTTTTGAACTATAAATCAGTCTAGTATTACGGTAGTTAGAAAACAAAACTTGATTCTAAAAAGAAAAAATGACTTGTTTTTATAAATTCCATATTTTCCAGTCCACAAGAGTACTCATTCAAGACCGAGAGAACAACGGAGTCACTATGTTCGGTGGCACGTGAACAGGGATACACAATCGGTGCGGAAGCAGAGTTGACACTCAAAACGCCATGTAAGTCATTACCTTTGTCTCGCTGTACGAAAAAGGCCTTGAACATATGAGAAATGTTGTAAAAAGGCAGACAAAAACAAATGTCTGGAGCCATATTACCGTAAATACTAAGACAACGCCACCCCTGACTTTCAACTTTGAGCCAATTTACCTCGGTTCCTATGAGAGTTATCAAAATGTGATCAATTGACAAAACATTTTTGATGTTATAATAAACAATTTGTCAGTTGAATACTTTTTGATATCTCTCACAGGAACCGAGATAAATTGGCACAAAGTGGAAAGATCGAGACAGAGGGTTAGGTTTCAGAACAAAAACTACCGTAACCTGAAAGATATATATTAGGTTGTTTGGAAAGTTCCTCCCATTTTTAGCGTCAGATACATGCAATGTAAAAAATGTCAAAACGATGTCGGATAAATTGGAGGTAATGACCATTGTTATCCATGACTGTCTGCCAATGCTCCACTAAATTTTGGATGCCTTCCTTCCAGAACTCCGGTCACAGCGAGTTGAAAATTAAGGCAACCCATTTTTGATATCCTGTTTTGCAGCGAATTTTTGTCAATCAAGATGACGTTAGAAATGGCTGGATAGGTAGTAATCAGAAAGTAGAAGATTAGAGCTATACAGTGAATAAAGCAGAATCGTCTAGCCAGATCCACCGAGACCTGGGTCTTCCTTCTCGTATGAGGTTGCGAATTTTAATCTAGAAAATAAACCTTTGTGTTTCTCTCCAATGAAGATCCACATGGAGTCTGAGTTATGTTACCTGACAAGAATAGGTATCGGTCAAAAAACTGACAAATTTATCTGGCAGCTCCCAATACTCCATTCCTTGGCAGACCACCATACCGACATCATCCCATTTTTAACACGAATTTCACGTTTTGGGACGTCTGGTGGTTGGGTGTCTTTGTCAACCCGCTTGGTTTGTCGTTTATAGTAATTATACATAACCTATTTATCACCACTTGTAATGATTTGCTTCCAGCATTCATGTGTGCAACACAGGATGAAAAGATTCAAACAGGTGCCCACCCGGGAAAAAAAGTTGCGTTGAGCCAAAAGGTGTGGTCCATGTCTTCGCACATTTTTAGACTTTGCCGAGAGTTTCCAATTTATGGCTTTTTGACAGAAGGCTTGCCACTGATGTACTCAATATATCCCACAAAGTTTGAGACGGGTCCCTTTCAATCGCGGCTTTTAATGCGTCCAAACCTAAGCCTATTGGCCTTTTTGAAGGGGGATTTTCGTCCAATGAGAATTCCTTCATTTCTAATTGGTTAAACCAGGTTGTGATAGTAGTTCGAAAGGATGAACCTTTGTTGTTCACCTCCACTGATTAGCAATCGATTTCAGCAATTTCCCGGTCAGATAGAAATAAAAACAAAAAGGCAGTCCAAAAATGGAAATCGTTATGGGCAACAACGGTACGCATATCCCAATATACGAAAAGAGGAGAATGATCTCCGTAAGGGTGTAGACACTATTGGATCCTACCAATATACTGATAAAACGACAGGTACCCACTTCGGTTCAAGCGAGGGGGTCAGAAAGCGCGCCCCAGTAAATTTTTCAAAAATTCTCAATTCGCTGCCGAACTTCGTTGGCTGAGTATCACAGTTTTAAAGGATGAGCGAGAATACGCGCGTTGCAACCCGTTGATTTTTAAGAAAGATATCATGATCTAGTTCAAACTCGTGTTCATTTTAAAATTATTAAATTTCTTCTGGCCTACGAGTTTGCTGGGGCGCTTTTTCTAACCCCCTGAACCCAAGTGAGTACCTCGATTTTACCCCGTTCATAGAAACGAAGTTTGAAAACAGTAGATCAAAAATTTGGGGGAACTTTCCAAACAACCTAATACATTTCCCATGACTTTTCTCGATTTTGTTACCGACAAATTAGAGGAAATCGAAAAAATAATTTTTTAGGTTACGGTAGTTTCCATACCCGGCAGCCACCAGCGTTTCTTTTCCTCATCTCGAAATACTGATAAAATAGACTTTATTGTCAATCCCAACAAAAAGCAAATTTCAGGTGAAATCGCAGAACTGAAAGCTGGTTTCAAACATGAAATGCATTTCAACAATCTCAATGAAAACTGTCAAACTGAGATTCTCTCATGGGGTGTGGACAGCAACGTGTCAGTACCACCACACTACATGACTGAAGCATCAATTATCATCGAAGAAATGAACTATAGAGGAAGCTATTCGGTAGTCTCAAGACTCTCTGGAACAGTCGTTGTCTCGATCCGCAGGTTTGTTGTTTCTCGTGGCTGGGGGCATACTTTCCGAGGGATTCTAATCCAGTCAGTGACCACAATTGACTCACTTATTGAATTCAATAGTATAGGGTCGCATTGTATTGCGCGCATTGGTCGGGCGGCAACTTACCAGATTGACTGGTAAAAGTAAATGTCAATTTGAAGAGAGTAACAATAATGGACATTTCATTTTGTTCCTATGTGTCCTGAATTAGAAAGGGAAAACTAGATTAATTATAAGTTTGCAAACTTTCAGACGTCGTGACAATGCTCTTATAATGCCAATCCGTGTTGCCATTGCTGAAGTCTTCCGTGCTCAGCTAGATAGTCCACATTGCAAGAAAGAGGTAGGAAGATGAATATTCCTCTTCAGAATGTTCAAATTAAAATTTATTCAGGTCAAGCAAGTTGTTAGTATTGACCAAAATCGCGTCGTCCGTCTCGTTAGCAAGGGTTCGTGTCAGTTCCAATTCGCCATGAAACAAAGAATCGACCTGAAGGAGCAGCCGATGCGAGCTAGCGATGAAATCATGATCGACTAATTCTCTGCCATCCAATCAGATCTCTTTTCTGTTCTCCACACACGTTATTTGCACGAGTTATTCATAAGAACTTTCCACCTTCTCATATTTATATGCACTGGCTTCTCTTAAATATCTTGTCTCGTATAATATTTTTGTTCCGAATAAAAAACTCTCGCTCTTTTATTATGTCAAAACTGCGGGGAACCGATAAAGCGATGGAGTCATGGGGATAAGAAAAAAGAAAGAAAAGAACAACAACGAAACAGGGACGACGAGGGAAAACATGTAAGAAAAGGAAGTGAACATATTGTATTAGCTCTAAACAAGTATAAAATGAAACCTATTGAGATGAGGGAATATAGATTCCAGAATTGTATGAATTCAAGTGAAAACACGAATAATGACAGGAAACAAGCAAAACATCAAAAATTAATTTAGTGTGGACGAGAGAATGGACGACGAATGCTTCCCTGTTTGACGAAATCGTTTTCTTTTTCCTCATCCTCATCACTGCTGACTACGATCTTGCGGAATGTCTCCTGAAAAACTATTTTCAATTCTTTTTTGTCCAGAGTTTATAACATCAACCATGCGTTCACTTTTGTTATTTCAGACCTCATAAGAACGTTACAGGAAATTTTCTATTCTATACATTGAATAAAGAAGGTCTTACAGAGGTTGTTATTTCCACACAGCAAAGTGAAGGAATGCGTTAAGGGTGCATCATCAGTTGAAAAGTATCATTTTTTGCTAAAACCCATGTTTGAACACTCTCTTGCTCGCCAATCCTACCTGAAGATTCTTTGCGATCAGATCGGTTGCAACGTGATTGTCAGCTCCACGTGGGATGATCACATCAGCATACTTCTTCGTTGGCCGGCAGAATTCTTCGAAAGCTGGCTTCACGAACTCCGTGTACTGTCGGATGATGGAGAGAGGATTACGGTGATAGTCACGCATGTATGTGTCGATTCTGTTACGAAGCCGACTTTCGGCGTTTTTCTCAACAAACAACTTGGTGGAGAGAAGTTTACGAACACGCTCATCGTACAGAAGGAGTATTCCTTCAATGATGATCACTTTCGCTGGCTCAACTTTGTCTGTTCCGATCCTGAAATATTATTTATGAAATAAATGCACTGGGTGACAGAAGTTTCATTTTTTCCCGAGCAGTGGAAGAATTTTTAAAAAAATTCAAAATCGTTTTTCCAGCACTGACAATCTACCGAATTCTACCGAATACCGAATATCTACCGAATTTGACCAAAATCAGATGATATTCCTTTAAGTTGAAAGCTGCTAAATTCTCTCCACTAATTATAAAAACATACATCGAGCTGGAAATCATGTCGTATTTTGAAATTTCCACACTTTTTCCATCAATCATTTTCTGAAGCGTATCAACAAGGAGTTCAAAGTTGATTTGATCTGGATGGTCGAAGTTGAATTTTCCTTCTTTTGCAAGATTCTTTTCGTCATTTGACAACTCTCTGTAGAAGGAGTGTAGAGACAGATGAACGATTTCAATTTGCTGAAAGTCACAAAATGAGAAATGGACTATTTACTACGGGAAACTCTTACTCTTCCACTTTGCTTTGCATTGGCATCCAGATTCTCAATGATTCTTTCCACGATTGTTGACTGAAATCAAATTATGGAAGGTCAATCTAAAGGATCTGAATATAATTTTTACCTTTCCACAAGAAGTTCCACCAGCAACCCCGATGATGAGTGGCAATTTGAGAGTATGCTTCATCTAAAAAAACAAGTTTCGGATTAGATTATCGGTGGTTGTGGGTTGAAATGTATATATTCGATTGAACGAAAGAAGTTAGAAACGAAACCATGTACGACTAGATAAAATATGTTAGAATTTATTTCAGTAATCCGGAAAATGCTAATAAAAGTTTGGCACCAAGAAATCTAAAAATTTAGGAAAGGACAAGAGAACAGGGAATGTACAAAAGATTGAAAACGACATGGACATGAATTTTTATCAAAACATATTTAATTATCGAATAAGCTTCATCAGTTCTTCGTAGTCTTCGAAATTCGCAACCATCATTTTTTCGGCAACAGACCCCTTTTTTGTGAGAGATCGAATCAAAACCGACATTCGAATGAAATCCTGAAAGATAAGGTTTAAAAATGCAGGTGCGTTCAAGAAAGTGAAAATTTCACGGGAGGAAGAAAAGTAAGCAAGTTGCAGGAAGTTGAATGGAAAAGATGTGAAAAGAAGAAGAAAAAGAATATGAAAAAAGAGTCGAAAAAACTGATCTTTTCTCTTGACAATGAGAAAAAAAGTTGTGAGGGTAAGCAGGAACGAGAGAAGCAGAGAGCGAGAGGAGGAAGCGAACATCGATGAAATTTAAATTGAAGAGCTCTTTTATTGCCTCACACAAATGTTAACTTGTGGAAACGATATGGGTAAACATATAGTAAATTGCATACTTGCGACCGGGAACTTGCCGGAACCTTCGCAGGCCTTGCCACAGTTTCTTTCAGAAGCAATATTTTCAGATCAACTAACTCAGATCTGATAGAACTCGGCGAATACTATAAAATGATACTATTTAGAAAACTGTGTCTTGTCTATGAACAAATTTACATGCCATAAAGTGACCGGGCCTTGTCGCGTCGGCCCGGGCCGGGCCTCTGTTTTTTGACGGTAACTTTGTTCTTAGACAAGACACAGTTCTCCAAATAACATCATTTTGTAGCATTCGCCGAGTTCTATCATCTGTAATTTAGTTAGTCTAAAAATATTGATTCTAAAAGAAGCTATGGCAGATCCCGCGAAGGCCCGGCAAAGGCCCGGTCGCAAGTATATACACAGTGTAGAAAAATATGTAGACACAGAAAACTTTCGAAATAAAAACTTGATAGAATTTTGCAAAATTTTTAAACCTTTTTAGCATACTTGCAACGGGCCGGGCTTTTTTTCAGAATTTCCAGGGCCCGGCCCGGGTTTTTAGGAACAAATTTTTCCTGTCTTTTCAAAAAAATTTTCGGGGTCAACTGAAAAAACGGACGATTTTTCTGTCAAGTAAAAAACTCTTCAAGATAAAAGTGTCCATAAAAAACAGTTTTTTTTACAAAAAAATTTCAAAAAATGTCTGAAATTCCAAAAAAAATTTTCAAATTTGGAAAACCCGGGCCCGCCGGGCCGGGCCCTGGAAATCTTCGGCACGGCCAGGCCCGTGGGCCCTGATTTTGCAAGTATGCTTTTTAGGATTACTAGCTATTTTCAAAGACTCTTATTTGCTTTTTCCGGTATTTTGTCTGAAATTTGATGGAACTGGTTTTCAGGGCCTGGGTCAATTGATCGAATGTTACAAGAGATGGATGAAATGACCAAGGAAAACAGTTTTTTAAAAAACTTACTTCTTTCAGCATTGTGAGCTCAATTTCCTTTTCAGTTTTAGGCTTCAACCTTCGGGAACTCGTGGATTCTTGAACATTATTGCCAGTACTTTCCTGAAAAATTAACATTGGTTCCCATTATTCGAATAAAAAACTACTTCTCCAATCCGGTCAATCGTTTCGTTTTCAGTAATTCCATACAAAACAGAAGAGGGTCCTGATGGAGAAATAGAATCTCTACCAACCATACGGGGGGCCTGAGTGGTCTTGTAATTCCCACCCCCATCTTCTGAACATGTATAATATTCTTCTTCTGAAAGTGGCGTTGTTTCTTTTTTGTCTTTTGGATATATGATCTCTTTACGGTTCAGCCGTGTGTCATCATCATTTTGTTGATTTATTCCGTCAAGGTTGAATGCATGTAATGTTGGAGAGTTTCGATCATTAATATAGTGATTTCTATCTTCTAAAGGCTCTGACGGTCTCCAGATTGTATTGCTTGGATACCATTCTTCTGATGTTCTACGTTGATACTGTTGTTCATCATCGAACCTCTCAATTGAGATTTTACGCGGACTTTCGGAACGATGGAAATCGGATGAACTTCGAATATATTCCTGATGATTCTTGTTGTCATACCCACCACTGCTGGTCCCCGGTTCATTGGTGTTGTTAGACTGAAACATAAGAAATTTTTTAAATATTGAAAACGGTAAAGCTCACAAATGGGCCCTCAACATTTTGAAAATTGCATAATCTCCAGCGCGTATCTAGTCCTGAACGAAGGTAAAATATAATCCATCCTCGATACCATGATCCATTTTCCCCAGGTGGCACATTCTGCTTTTGATCATAAATGTTTCCGAAATACGAGTTGTAGAACAATCGCGTTTTTTCCGAGTCTGCCGTAGATTGAAAATCGATTCGAATCTGAGAGTAAAGTTTTAAATGCTAGCGCTGGAAGGATAAGAAAGAAACCCGTGTTATTCCTTTTTTTATTTGAGTTTCGAACACATCAGGTAAAAGTACAGGATCTTCTTTGACGAAATTATAGTGATCAAGTGTCAGTTCAACCCATCTACCAAGAATGCTTTCATATCCGCGACTGAAATTCCACGGAAATCGTTTGAATACATTAATTAATATTTACCACAGCTTAGAATCTATTGTTATTCTGTTCTTCTCTGTTCTGGTCCATGCAGTGTATCCTGTACCATCTCGAGAAACGCTATGAACGATCGCGTCGACAGTCCGGAGTAGCTGTTGTCCGTCACGAGCCTAAATGATATTTGAATTTAACTGACGGTGAATATCAAAACGAAACCTAGTTTTTAGAAGAGTATTTTGGTTGGAACGTTTTGAGTACTTACCCTTCTCGTATTCCTCAATGTTAGATCCTGAGAAACTCTCCAACTGGCCTTCAGTCCCGGTTGATGCAGTCGAGTAATCCATAAGCTATATGTAGCCCGTGTATCAATATGTTGAACTTTTTTATCCGTGTCAATGATAAACCCGGCGAAATTATTGTGGAATACTTCGTATTTGTTTTTGAATCGACTGTCGTAACTCGCTTCAATTCTGATCTAAACTCTCAGATAGTTCATTCGTTTTTCAGATATTTATCAACCTCGGGATCACGGTTTAACAGCCTAGTCTCCAAAATATCATCAATAATCACGACAGGCCGACAGACGACATTAGGATCCCGCACCACAACTCTGACCCATTTTCCTACGAGATCGATTCCTAGTGGCCTGAAACTTTATGAGATCTTGTTTGTTGTCAAATCGGTGGTACGAACACATATGAGTAGTCGATGATAATATCCCGGGAGATTTGATCAGAGAATCCAAAATACGCGCCCACATCAGTCGAGTTCCTACGAATAATTGCTTCAACCGTCCTCAAATCCATTTTAACAAACTTCAGTTTATGTTAGTGCGAAATATATATTATTTCGATGAACCGTCTAAGCAGAAAGCTTTAGATTCGATCATCTGGAATTTCTGTTCATGGTACACCTAAAGAAATGAGAAAAGAGCCAGAGATTACAGAATCGCGGAAAACGACGATTTATATGGAAGCTATGACTGGAAAAAAGTACGATGTCTTTATATTTAGAAAGAAAACGAAATTGGAATTAGAAAATACGAAAAATGTTACAGTAGGGAGAAAATGGAGTGATGACAACAAAATTATAGAACCATTGGTTTCTGGTGCTGAAACATTAATAAGTAGTTAAGAATGAGAAACAAACTATCGATTTGACACATAATTTGAACATAATAATGGTACAATTGAACTCAAAATAGTACATGTGTTATTAATTAAACTTTTAAGGATGTTAGTTATGCAATATCAATTATTTTGTCTTTATTCATACGCATGTGGATGAGTGCCATCAAATCTTCGTGGTCCTCAAGCTCCGCCCGCTTACAAACAGCCAAGCATTTTTCGTCTTTCATGAGCAAAGTAAGCGCGTTTTGCATAAGAATGAGTTCCTGAAACAATAATTAAGAAAATATGAAATTAATAAAGAAAAGGACAGTCATTGGATTTTTTACATTCAAATTCCAGATGATTTAAATATTGCAGAGAAAGCAACAGTACCGATTTCAGCTTAAATCTTTCCAGTTCCTTCGCAGTTTTTGTCTCCTTTGTTTGAATACGACGTGCATTTTTCTTTTGTTGTCCAGATGTCTCTTGGTTTTCAGGAACTTCATCTGCATGGTGCACAGCTTGCGAGTTGCCATTTATAGATTGATTTGGTGTTTCATAGAAACAGCATGCACCTTCAAAATCGTCCGAGTCTGAATCCGAAGAGTCAGATCTCGGTGGAGCCGAAACTTTCTTTCTCGATTCTTTGCGATTCATTTTCTGCTCGCCAGAATAAACAATTGGTTGGACAAATGAGGAGGAAGAAGAAGGAACGCGTTCGTATTGCTGGCCCCTTTCGTGTTCTCTGTCCCATTGACTAGGGAAATTCCCAGGAGTCTTCTGGCTATGACCGGTATATTGATCTTCATATTGATTCGGGATGTGTGGTGGTGATCTTATCCTTTCTTGCGAGTAGTACTCATTTTGACTTTTTCGATCGTTTTGTAACTGAATAAAACTTTATATTATGCTTGTCTGAGAAAAAAAGGTTAGAGAGTATTTTTTGCAGTCTGAATACGGTAGCGATATCGAAGCGGAGAGCCTAAATAGCACACATAAGGTGGACACTTTTTCACTTTTTCTCTGCGTCTCAACCTTTTTTTTTCTCAGACAAGGATAATACTATGTTGGAAGAGAAGAATACTACCGATTTGTCATAACTATCATTCACCAATCTCCAATATGCATTTGTTCCTTCGATCCCATCGTATGCAATCCAGCCATTATAGCGAACCCCACTTCGTGGTCTTCCTTGAAACACGTTTCTCGGATCACAAATGTATTGGAAGTACGGATGGTAGAAAACTTCAGCTCCTCCTGATAAGATACTTTCGAAATCTATATTAATCTACAAGTACATCATGAGAAGTTGAATAGGCGGAAACCTGATAACCTCTAAAACATTATCTATTATGCGTGTTTTATATGGATCTTCAATACGAACAACGGATCCCTGGACTTCGAAATAATTATCGACATTCATCTCTACCCAAAAACCAATCATATTTCCGCTTCGAGGACTGCAAAAGTTCTAGTTAAAAGTAGATGAGGCATATCTTATATCACCAGTTGGAATCCCAAATATAGAACCTTCGTGTTGGTTCATCTTTTGACCATGCAATATACACGCCTTGATCGGTTCGGGAGTGAATAATTCCGGAAATTGTTCTCAATTTCTCGTCAGCTTTAACCTAAAACACTTTGTCAGGAAACTTGAACTGCGCACATTTGTAGAACTTACTTCCGGTCGATTTGGAAATATCGTGCGTTGCTCAATAGAAAGCTTCCAATAAGACATGACGTTTTCTTCTTTGTGAGGCCTGATCCACAATGTGTAGATCATGCTGGATTGCGGATTGTTAATGACGTAGTCAGAATCACAAATGAATCCGATTGTTTGATGGTAAAACGTTGCGATTCCATTCTGAAGTAAGCCGTTGTGAACAGCCTCTACTCTGATCTGAAATCAACTATCAGTTCTGAACGGCTATCTTTGAAACGCACCTCTGGTTCTCCGCAAACGAATCGGGTTTCAAATACATCAGAGATTATGAAAATATTTCCAGTTACAACATTTTTGAATACTTCTGCTTGTATCCATCTTCCTCTCAAATCGGTGTTCGGCGGTCTGGAAGTTGTTGTTGTTTTGATTCGAGAATCAGTAGAACGAACACGAATTGCTGACTTATTGTGATTTCGGGATTGTTTTGTGAGCAGAATGCAGAATATGTTCGCTCTTCGTGATTGTATCTGACGACAAATGCATCCAAGGTTTCCCGTCTCATGGTCTGGAATTCGGTTTATTTTTTTAGAAAAAGATCAATGATAACAGTGTTGGAAGCCAACTTCAGATATGAGAATCGAACAACAATGAAGCAAAAAAACACAAATTACTGAATCTCCGAATATTTAATCATAACCTAGTAATGCTCGAATTGGATATTCTACAAAAAACAAGGAATAGGAAAGATGATTGGCATAGTGATTTAGTCGAAATAGAGAACAAAATTATTATGAAGCTCAAATGAATACACGGAACCAATAAAGCGAGGATTTAGCAATTTACAAATAGGCAGAATGATCTATTCCTTTCTTTCGACTATCTCAATAAGCTCCTCAAATTCTTCCAAATTGGCTACTTGCATTGCCTCGATAACTTCTGGGTGACGAACAAGATTTTTCACCAAAGCCTTGATATCGTTCACAGTCTAAAATTAAAGATATTTCAGGGAGCCTATGATATTAGAGTACCGTTCGTAGTGTCTTCATTTCTTCTTCTTCAGGTGTCAATTGTCGTATGAATCCACGAGACTTGATTCGATCACTTGATATTTTGGTGGCATCAGTTACCTAAATTCATTTCACTTATAGTTAGCTTCTTAATTTCCTAAAAATATTTACCTGTCTATGTTCTCCAATCGGCTCGTTGTTTTGAATCAGATTTCCCTGTTTCGAACTGATTTTGCTTTTCTGACTACTTCTGTCTTCGATTTCATTATCGGTGTCTTCTTCAGACGTGGTTTCAGCCCTGGAAGGGGGTCTCGGAGAGTCTGTATTTTTCCTCTGATGTGGAACTGAGTGTCCAGATGATGGTATTTTTGGAGATTGAAGAGCAATCTCTCGTCGTGCTGCATAATCGGAAGAACGATTGCTTGGAGATGGAGATGGACAATAGGAATTTTTACTTTGATTCATAAAAGAAGAAGCGGGGCGGCGACTATCTGGATGACTATTTTGGTTAGAAGCATACGGCTCGTTTTGCATCGATCGATTCGGTGATTGATGAGCAGATGGTCGATTCTGATAGGATCCACCGTCATTTCTATAGTTTTGACGATCTCTACTCAAAAAGTCTTGATAGCGATTCCTAGGGCTTGGTGAACGGCGACTACGATTCCCAAGCATAACTGGAGGCCCTGTATTATATCCATAGTTATCCTGATTCCGATGATCGTAATTTTGTCTATCGTCGGTGTTGTATCTCGGCCCAAACCTTGATGATCGTTCTGGTGATCTCGACCGTCGGTTCGAATAGTTTTCTGGAGAAGAGCGGCGTCCGACCTGAGATGAGCGTCCGTATGATCGATCATTTGATTGTGGCTCACTATTATAATCAGTCGACTGTGTGCTACTTCTCTGACGAGTCTGGAACGACTATTGATTATTAAAAGCAACGCAAAAATGACTAACCAAGTCCATTTTTTCAGAAAGGCCAACCACCACCCATCTTGCTCCAATATCGCGTTTGAGTTCGGAATCTGGATTGCATGCAATCCAAACTCGATATGAAACGTTCTGCTCCACGTCTCTAACATAATGTTCCGGATCAGCAATTAATCCCAAATCGTGGTGACGAAACATCTCCATTCTGTTTCTGTAGCAACCGTCGTGTTGGACTTCCAGAAGCAGCTGAGAAAAAAATTTAAACTCGTTGTGATTTATATCACTAACCTCTGCTTTACTTTTGAAGATTCTGGTTTCATAGCGATCCAATATGATTGAAGCTTCCCGGCAAGCTTCCAAGTTGTCATCGATTGCGACACTCACCCATTTTCCGAGTAAATTCATGTTTTGAGGACTGAAAAGAAATTACATCATGAACATCAACCGGATTCATTCCCACCTGTACTTGTAGTCGATAATAATGTCATTATTAGACACACTGCTCCATGCAAAATAGATCCCGTTCCTCCCATCATAAATGACAAAACCAGTCACAACTTCATTTCTCCCCATTTGTGAAATCGCGCTGCAACAACGATAACCACACTAAAAACATTGAACGAAGGATGCTGTTTGTATTAAGCTTATATAAAGGTATCACATGACCGTAAATCAAAAGGCAATAACGATAAAAGAGAACAATCAGAAACGATAATTTCATTAACAATAACAGAACAACAAAAAATGCAGTAAAATTGTTATAACGATATGTTCATGAATGTTAAAAATAATGTCATCCGTTGAGTTATTCGTCATTAGAGTTTACTAAACTTAGGAGCTCCTCGTAGTCTTCATTGCTCCACACTTGCATCGAAAAAGAAACAGATTCATCTTTAGTGAACGATTTTACCAAAGCACAGATCCTTGAATTCTTCTGGAAAATTTCAGATTATTCTTCATCTCAAAGCGGATACCAGACACCTGTCTTAGGCTTTCAAAGTTGTCTTTTATAGAAGCGTCTACAGTGTTGGATGATCTATCAGCGCCATCTACTGGTGCATCGAATGATTCTTTTTTCTGAAGATTAGTTGCATTAATGAGTGTAATTTTCGATTTAAATACACTAAGATAATCAGTGAAAGCGAAATAATTAAAATAGAAAATTACCAGTTCAAGTTTGTCGTTTCGGCTTCTCACTCTGTCAAACTTTCCGTGGTTTTCGGCGGACCTGGAGCAAGGAAATTGAGAAGAAATCCTTGGTTCATGATTCTTGAATTTTTTGCATTCATATTATCAATTCACATATTGTGTTGTACCTGTGCGTGATTCGAAGATGACACTCTTCTTTCCAAATTATAGTCACTATCACAGTCAGAACTCAACAAAATATTGTTGCTTCTGGTGGCAGTTATACGTCTTCGACCTGGGGCAACATCGTCCGCTAAACTCGAATTCGTGAGTTCTCTTGGTGCTAAACTTTCTCCATCACTGTCAGACGAAGTTTGTGCACGGAAAGAAGCACGCGGTGTTTCCCTTCGAGCGTCAATTGATCTGTCCACAGGACGGAAGCTTGTAGGGCTGCCTGGTATTGGTATTTCCTCATTTACTGAACCAGCAGGACGATACGGAAGTCCGGTTGTATTTCTTGAGATTGGTTCCGGTGAGAGTTCTCGGATAAGGTCTTCAGCCTTAAATGAAAGATAATGTCCTGAAAAAAGTGAAAACTTACGAAAACGACATCCTGTTGCGATGAAACAATCCAAAAGTCAGAAGATTCGGGATCGGGATTCGAAATCCAGCCTCTATACCAACCGGCATCAGGATTGTACTTGACTTTATGATTATAATCGAAAATATGGCGGAAGTCGTCGTGGTAATAAACTCTGCAACCCTTTCTGTCATCGAATCCATGGTAAGTAAAACTTGCTCGAACCTAAAATATTAGCGTTTTCAGTTGAGATTGAAATTCGTTCTTGCGTACTTCTGGTACCCCTTGACACACTCTAGAATCAAATACATCGCGTATCACATCAACTACTTCGACCACTCGGTTACTCGACACGTCGACAGAGGCATCAACCCAGCAGCCAACGACGTTTTCATTCGGACGGCTGAATAAAGATTGATATAAAACATGATCGATGAAGGCAACTTACCAATATTGAATGTCTAGGTAGGCATTTTTTACAAGGTATTTGCTCCAAACGAATGTCGATCCATCCCTTTGTGGTGCCGAACATACAAAACCAATTATCCTCCGTATATCGGGAATTTTTTCAGGTAAATCATGATATGCAAGGATTCTCCTGGGTACAAAAATTGACCGAAATTTATCAGCTTTCGATGATGTACACTGAAGCAATGTGAAACGTTTAAGATGAACCATAAATTCAAATTACCTTGAATTCGAACTCAACATATTTATTTCGCTCTCGGACTAAATCAAATAGGTCTATAAAATTCCCGAAAGTATCATTGTATAACTTCGCTACACGTTTGTTGCCTGCATTTACAAGGCCTACATACTCCGCACTTGTCGTGATCTGCAAAAAAAAAAACACTGAAAACTCAGAAAGAAAAAAATAATTTAACTTACGATGACATGTTGTAGACCTCTATCATCGGTATCAACATGAGACTGTGCAAGAGGCTTAATAGGTCTGTATTGAGTAATCACATGTTGAGCTCTATTCTCCGGTGTGGCCTTTCCATTAAACCTATACAACCATTTTGCTTGTTTTTTCAATAGAACTGCGCTCACACTTACGCATATTTAACCTCATAAAAACTGCCCAGCTTCACATTCCTGTCATTTTCGAGCATCGCTGATATTCCTTTGTCTATAATAACGAAAAACATTTTTTTGGGCACAGAAGACATAGCGTAGGAGGTGTGCCATTCATCATCCTGTAAACCATATTTATTTAGTAGGGATAATTCTGCATTGCATTTCGTACCTCGCTATCCATTATGCTTTGAAAATGTGGTTTAGCAACCCTGAAACAGAAAACATTTATACTAGATAAAAATGAGTAATCATAATTTTATTAAACCTAGAAACTATCAAAGCCTTGGCGATTATTTTCTGGAGACTGCGATTGCGCGTTACTCGTGGTGTCTGCGGACGACAGAACTCCAAGCGAAAGATCAGAAACGTAGAAGAGACGCAGAAACATTGCTAATGATAAGTTTTCTCTGTATTGCGCTACGGGACCATCATAAGATGGCAAACCTCAGTTCAGTCTTCACAAAATTCTATTAATCGGTGTCCCAAAAATTTCTGAATCATTTCGGACATCTGTCGAAAAGTGAAATAATAGTCTATTAAGCACATTAAGTTTAACTGAAAGGTGCCATCGCATTCGAATATATCGAAAGCACTAATGTATAACCTCTTAAACTATATTTACAAAGCTAATCTATTATGCTTGTATTTACAATTAGGAGCTGCGGAAGAGAAAATCTTGTGCGCGGGGCTAAGGACCTCGTAACGAAAACTACTGTAACCTAAAATTTGAGAGCACACCAACTGGGAGGAAAAGAAAAAGTGGGAAGAACCATCTGGGAGGGAAAATGGGCGGAGCCTAATTTGCAACCCTGGCACGGTTTTGCCGCATTGTTTTTTTCTTGACCAGGTACCAAATGGTAAAAATA